AGTTTAGCGGAAAAAAAGTAGCACAATTATTACGGACAGATCAAAGAAAAACTAAATTATTTTAACATAACTAGATTTGCTTAAATGTCAAAGCAAAACTAAATTTTCAAAGTCATGATTGTCGGTTTTGATTTGGTTGATTTTGGTTCAAAAACCGCTTGATTTTTTTTTTATATATATATCCTTAAGTGCATATATATATATATATATCAGAATCTGTACGGATGACTATATGTTATTACGTAAATGTTTTTAATAGTATAATATTTATTATTTTGAGTAGTTGTACGAAGTGGTAATATTATAGGCAAGTATGCCTAAATTTGTCAATTAACCCTCGCGTTGTCAGTTATACTGAGGATATTGGGTGTTGTTGAGGTTTGTGTTTTTCCAATTCCATTTATTATTTTGTAGTGATTTACTTGTAAAAAAATATATTGATATGGATATCATTTTGTAGATCGTAACATTTACTTTAATACAATAACTTAGTTAAAATATTTTAATGATATGATATATTAAGAAATGCATTTGAAACTAATGTAGGGGTTTTCGAGTTTGTTGGGCAGGCAAAATAAAAAATATTTGAGTCTGAGTGGACGGTTGATCAATATATATCATTTTGTACATGAATTAAATATTTGAATAAGCGACAGACCTACCCAGGTGGATGATCAAAACCAGATGGTGGAACCATAAAGACATTCTCTTCCAATTCTCCATGTAAAAAGACGTTATTGATGTCGAGTTGAGATACAAACCATCGATTTGAAGCTACAATGGATAGAAGGATCCGAACAGTGACCATTTTTGCTACTGGAGCAAAGCTTTCTATGTAACTAAGCCAAAACGCTGCAAGAAACCCTTGGCAACCAAACAAGCTTTGCACTAATTAAATGAGCCATCAACATTTCGCCTGATCCAGTAAACCCATTTACATGTAATGGGTTTCTTATCAGGCGGCAGGGGTCCTAAGTTCCATGTTTGATTTTTCAGAAAGACATCTAACTCTTCATGCATGGCATGCCGCCAAATTGCACTCCTGCTGGCCTGCCAATAAGAATTAGGTTCCTGCATAAGTATGTTACGTACATTATCCTACACAAGGGTATTAAGGTGGGTGGAGGGGGAAGACACAGAGTTAAAGATATAATCATGTAGATATTTAGGTTACTGTCTGTTTCTGGTAGGTCTTGGTGAATGTATAGGGAGAGAGCTTGTTGGAGGTGTAGGGGAGGATTTGGGTTGGGAATTTAGAGGTGAATCTAATGGTGGGGTGTTAGGAAGATGATGAAAATGATTATGTGGTGCAGTGATACAAGGATAAGAGGGAGAGAATGATGAAAAGGTACTTAGAGCATTTGAAGAGGAAGTTGAGTCTTTCTGAAGTTCTTGAGATAGCCTTGCCTAAGGAAAGACCTCCTCATAAAAGTAGACATCCCTAGAGGTGAATAAGGTGGATGTTTCGAAGTTATATACTTTATGAGCCTTTTGGTTAGAGTGGCCAAGAAAAATGCATTTTTGGGCTCGGGGATCAAGTTTGGAATTGTTAGGAAAAGTGTTTGTGGCATAACATAAACAACGAAATGTTTTAATGTCCTGATATGGTGGTGGTTTGGAGAAGAACAGTTCATAAGAGAATTTCCACCTTAGAATGAGAGTGGGTAGTCTATTTATGAGAAAAGTCACATGCAACAGGGCTTCTCCACATAAATCTTGTGGAAGGCTAGCTTGAAAAAGAAGTGCTATAGTTACTTGAAGGAGGTGTTTATGTATTCTCTCCACTTTCCCATTTTGTTGGGGAGTGTAGGGACAACATAATTGGTGATCAATGCCAAGATTTTGGAAGAGCAACTTGAATTTTTCATTCAGGAACTCAGAACCATTATCAGATCTAATAGGTTTGATGGTTTTATTAAATTGGTTTTGTATCACAGTAATAAAGGTTTCAATTGTACAGTACAAGTTGGCTTTGGAAGGCAAAAGAAAGGTCCACACAATTCTTAAGTGATCATAAAAAATGGTAAGAAATGACAATTTCTTAAGATGGGAACCTTGTAAGGTCCCCAAATATCAAGGTTTACAAGTTGAAAGAAATTCGGCATGAAATGAATCTTTATTAAAAGGTAATCTATGTTGTTTGGCTTTGTGGCATACATCACAAGGTCTAGATTTATGTGAGGAATTGAAGGGTAAATGAGACATCACCTTAGTGCCTGGATGGCTAAGTCTCAAGTGCCACAATTGGTTTTTATGAATTTCAGGAACAAAGAGAGAATTGTGTGATCCAGGGAAGACGTAGATGTGATCCTTTTGCACGGCTATGCCAAGAATTTCATCTAAACTCTGGCCCTGAAAAATACATTTATTTGAATAAAATTTCACTGTCAGTTTTGAATCTTGTGTAAGGCAACTCACCGAAATGATGCTGAATTTTAAATTAGGCAGAAAGTAAACATTATGTAGCGTGATTGTAGGTGTAATGGCTACAGAACCAATGAATTTAGGATGTGTTATGGCTCAATTAGGTAGACAGGTTTTGGTGTGGCTTTCAATGGGTTAGAGGGTTTGAAAAAAGGAGTGGTTGACACAAATATGACACGATGCACCACTGTCAACAAGCCAAGACCTGTTATCTACAATACAAGAGTTGTATTGTTCAGAGGTACCTGCATAATCAATTGCTGAATGCAGTATGATTTTTAGGGACTGTGGCCATCACCTTCTTTAACTAAGGGAGCAAAACTTGCAGATCTCTTGGTGAAAATGCGCTCTCTCCAGCCATACCAATTTTCTCAGATATGGTGGCTCTCAAGGTTAGTGGATTCTTCTTTTTCTCTTGCATTTCCTTGAACCAATCGGGAACACCATGAACTTTGAAGCATGTGTCTTTTGAATGTCTCTTCCTTTTGCAGACATCGCAGATCATGTTCCTCTTGTCTAGATGAGATTTCTTCTTATCGAACGGCTTTCTTCCAATGCTAGTGACAACCTGAGAAGTACTTTGTTGAATTGCATTGAAGGCTTTCAAATTAACATGATCAGGTATGTTGTTCTATTTTTCAACTTGCAGAATCGTAAAGAAAGCTTTGCTCACAGAAAGAGATCCATCATCAATATTTGGTTTTTGATAGGTTGATAAATTTCATTAAGACCAGTGTGGAACTGTATTAGATAGTCCCTGTCATGCATCTTAGTCAAGTGGTGATTAATATTGCATCTACAGAGACCACAACTACACTTTGCTCCAGGATCAGTTACTCTGAGTTCATCAACAAACTTCTGTAACTTTGTGTAGTATATGGTTAAGGAGTCATTACCTTGTCTTATAGCAATAATTTCACTTTTGAGTTGGTAGAACAAAACGTCGTTGGATTCTCCAAACTTTTCTTTCACCTGAAGCCACATATCACGTCCATATGAGACGTACACGAATCCTTCCTACAATTCTAGAGAAATTGAGGTTCTGAGTCAAGATCGGATCATTGCATCGCAAGCCCTCCACACATCAAAGTGAGCCGTTCCTTTGACAGGTCTAGAAAGAGTGTCATCTATGCATCTCAATTTTATTTTTGTCACGAGTGATGTTTCGACATTGAAACTCCATGATAGGTAGTTGGAGGCATTTAAAGATACTGTGGTGAACGCCAATCCAGGGTGATCTCCTGCTCTAAGTAAGTAGGTTAATCCAAGCCATGGTTGAGAATTAATGCTGTTTTCAGAATTTGCGGTGCGAGCAGCAGTAGAATTTATTTAATCTACCATGGAAATTGAAAATCACATCACCAGGAGCAGATGTGCTCTGATACCGTGAAGAACAAGCAGGGTAAAAAGGAGAAAGACAGAGCAAAAATCAAAAGGTAAAGGAAAAGAGTTATATATTTTCTCTTTGCTGTAGTTTTCCAAGTTTATACAATTGTATCTAAAATTAATATATACATGATTGTAACAAAATGTAGCAATTGAAATTTGGGTGGATACATAGTTAGTTGGGAATGAGTCGAGAGCACACAGTTTTCATGTGGATGTATGAATGTATTTATTTTATGTAAAAGAATCATATTGATAAAATAAAAGAATAATATATATATAATATTTATTGAGAATAGTATAAGCAAAAAAAATTTATATATTAGTTAAAACATTTATCTACTAATACGCAATAACACAAAAGACATACATTGTTGTACTTTCTCTAAAAAAAAAAAAAAAAAAAAAAAAAAAGAAAGAAAGAAAGAGACTGCATTTTCTTAAAAGTAGGCCTCATAATTAATATTATAATTTTAAAAAGTCGACACAATAAATGTTTATAACATATTTATAACTAAATCATAAATATATAATTGTATTTTTTATATTGCTATTCCTTATAAATATTATAAAAATATACAATCTATACACATTAATACAATATATATACACTTTATTACAAAATATTAACAACTTAATATAAAACTTATTTTTATGTTATCAATATAATTCTTCATACCTAATATAAACAAATAAATTTATCCAAAAATACAAAATGACCATCATGTAATATAATTATATTCATTTAAAAGTGAAAACAATTGATCTAGAATAAAATAGGGGTAGTTTATTATTATTTTGTGTCTTAAAAGAAATATAATATTTCATGTAAAAAAAAAATAGTAAATATATCATCTAAAAAAAACTTAAAAAATGTTATTTTAAAAAATATCAACAAGTAAACAAACTTATTTTAACCCTATAAGTTACATTTTTGCATAAGTAATGAATGTGGTAATGTTTATAGTTGTAATTTATTTTTTATTTTTATAATGTATGAAAGTATTATAAATAATGATATGATATTTTTTTATTTTTTTAATTGAATTTTATATATTTTGATAAATTTTATTGTCACGTATATATATTGGATATTATATATTATATTTTTAATAATAATTTTAGATAATCCTCTATTAAACAAACTCATCTAAGAGTAAAAAAAAGAAAAATTCATTTAAAATAGGAATGACAGTATCTTTGTGTGATTTGTGTAATTACAAGAAAGAATGATGACAACAAAGCCTATACAAAGGCAAACTAACAAAAATATCACATTTTTTACCAATCTTCAAACTAAACCATTGAGGCAAGATCATGCTCACCTTGTGTCCAAGAATCATAATGTTCATCATTTTTAGGACTATAACAAACTTTAAACAACATGGCTAAAACCTCCTTCATGTTAGGCCTAGCATGGGGGCTCTCCGCAGTACACGATAATCCGACTCGAAATAATTCGTTCATTGGGTCTGCCCCTTCAGTTAGCCCCGACACTAGTAGATCCACCGGCACCACCATATTGCCGCCGCCCGTGACCCTCTTGGCCCACTCGACGAGACATTCCTCTCCCCCGTCTACCGCCCGTCTCCCGGTGGCGAGCTCCATTGCTAGAACCCCGTAGCTATACACGTCACCCTTGGTCGTGGCTTGCCACGTTTGCCCGTACTCGGGCGCCACATACCCCACCGTACCCGCCACCATTGTGCTGACGTGGCTACCGCCGGCATCCACCGTCCGGGCCAACCCGAAGTCGGTCACCCGAGCCTTCCCGTTCTTGTTTAGGAGCACGTTGCTCGCCTTCACGTCCCGGTGCACGATGCTTGGGTAGCACTCGTGGTGTAGGTACACCAAGGCACGCGCGACGTCTATTGCGATCTCCACCCGTCTTTGCCAGTTTAAACTTTTACGGTCCGTGATGAGATCCTCGAGACTCCCTCCGTCCATGTACTCGTAGACGAGGAGCTTTTCTGAGCCCGACAAGCACCATCCGTAGAGCGTTACGAGGTTCGGGTGAGGCCATCCGAACCCGTTCCCGCTCATCACTTCCATTTCGGCCATAAATTCACGTTCGCCTTCTATGCCTTCCGTCGCGAGTTTCTTCACGGCAACTTCTCTTCCATCGGGCAACACACCCCTGTATACCGTCCCGGACCCTCCCTTCCCGATGATCCTATCGTCCGAGAAGCTTCTAGTCGCTTTCACGATGTCCGAATATGTAAAGACAGTCTTGTCCAAATGGATGATCTTTATCGTGTTGGACAACCACGGCGATGATGCGCCCGAGCTCGATCCAAATTCTTGTTGATCCTTAGCATCGCGTAGAAAGAACTCTTGCGAGTCATCTGGTCTCTTCAAAAGGATGCAAATGATGAGCGTCAAAAGGCCACATACTAAAACGGCGAGTGAAAACACGACTACAACTATAAACGCGCTGATGTGCTTCGTAGCATTCTTGTTCTCCCCTTTGTTGCTTCCCGGCGATGTATCATTGGTCATGAAAGGCGGGAGATGAAGAAGAGGATCGCCCACGAACGACCATTTCTCGAAGGTAGCTAGCTGACCGGTGGTCGGGATAGAGCCGGATATATATGGATTGTACGAAATATTGAACTTGTTTAGATCGCTTAACTTGTTCAAGCTCGACGGGAAGATGCCCGAGAAGTTGTTATACGACAAGTCGAGATTTTGCAAACACTTGATGTCACCAATTTGTGACGGTATCTCCCCCGAAAATGCATTGCTCGATAAGTTTAGAACGCCTAAAGGCAAGTTCCCGATGTCCGAAGGAAGCGACCCGTAGAAGTGATTGTTCCCCAAGTGAATCATACTAAAGTTCGTCATCTTACCGATGTCTTCCGGGAGCTCTCCCGACAATAGGTTCCCGCCGAGTTGGATATAGCCCGATATCTGAGTCGTCCTAACAGACGAACCTGGTAGGCAAATCGAGAACAAGCCGTATCCTTTGAGTAGCTGATCCCACAACTCTCGACACTTTTTTCTTGTGAGAAGATAGTACACAAAGCTAAATGGCGGATAATCCGCCGGTATCCATCTCCGCATCGTCAGACATTCGCCGGAGCCCGCCGGAATAATGTCACTTCTCTTGTTCGCTGCAAAAGTAGCTTCCGGTTCATTCCCGATCCTTGCCAGCTCTCGCGGCATCGCCCCCATCAATTGATTGTTCGCCAAATTCAGCCACAATAGGCTGCGGCAATTCCCTAACTCCGCCGGGATTTCACCCGTCAACCTATTGTTCGCGAGCATCAACCATAACAACGACGTTAAATTCCCGAAACTCGGAGGAATCCGACCCGTCAGCTCATTGAACGAAAGATCGATCGCTTGTATCCCCGTCAAGTTTCCATATTCATCGGGGATGCTCCCGGAGAACTTATTGTAGGCAAGAACCAAGAACTTCAAGCTTCTCGTGTACGAGACCTCAACCGGCAACGGGCCGGAGAAGTCGTTATGGCTTAAGTCCAATCGAGCGATGCTAGGAAGGCTTAGAACACCCGACGCAACGATCCCTCCCGTGTACGAGTTCTTGTGCAATAAAAGATAACGTACTTGCGCCAACCGGCCGAAGATAGGCTGCACGTCGCCGCCGAAATGGTTCCCACTTAAATCCAAAAACGTTAGCCGTCGAAGGCCTAATAACGATTCCGGGATCTCCTTCGAGAAATTGTTGCTTCCTAAGTACAACGCCGATACATTCGGCAACAAGCCTATTTCGGCCGGGATTCGTCCCGTGAACTTATTGCCCCACAATGTCAGCGTCTCCAACTCGCTGCAGTTGGCGATTTCTGCCGGAAATTTGCCAGAGAACAAATTCCCCGATAGATCTAAATCCCGTAGGCTGCAGTTTTGCGAAAAAGTCCCCGGCGGGATGTGGCCGGAGAATCGATTGTCGGCCAAGGACAGGTCGTGGACGCGATCGAATCCGGGCCATAGCTCTCCCGACATTTGATTTGTGCTGAGGTCGAGATACTTAAGATTCGAGCATTGCCGGAACACCCGGCCGGCATCGCCGGTGAAGTTGTTTCTGGAGATATTTGCCACGGTCAATTTCCGGCAATCGGCCGGCACAGCCATCCCGACATCGGTGCGGATCCTGTTCTGAGACAGGTCGAGGATTTCGAGGTTTTCGAGCTCGGTCAGGTTCAGGACACCGTAGATGATGTTGTGGGACAGGTTTAAGAATCTGAGGTTCTTACACTTTCCGAGTACCTCGCCGATTTCCCCTCCGATTGTGTTTTCCGACAGGTCGAGCGATGACAGCTCCGGCAGCGCCGAGAAGTTGCCGAAGATGCCGCCGGCAATGTTGCTGCCGGAAAGGTTGATCTCCGTCACGCGATTCAGCCCCCCCTCCGGCGACCCCCCGCCGCCGGTGCAGGTGATTCCAGGCCAATTGCAGGGTGAGGAGTCGCCGGAATTCCACCGGAAGTAGTTCCTCTGATTGACGGCGACGGGATTGTGTGTCTCCAAGAATTGCCGGAGCTGTAGAAGCACTTCCCTGTCTGATTCGAGAGAATCTCCGGACACCAACGAACTCCCTGTCGGAATTAAAATAAAAAACCGATTGATTGATTGATTCTCTGCAATAGATTGATCAAAGCTCGAATCATTGAAATCGATGAGTTTAATTAATTAATTACCGGAGACTAGGAGGAGGAGGAGCAGAGCAAGCAGGAGATGGAGGAATTGATCCAATTGGGGTACGGACATGATCGAATCTTTGGCCTGTCAGAAATGGGGATTCGATGAATTCATGTCAGGTTTGAGCAGTCAGTCAGACAAAGGTTGTTTTTTTATGAAAATGAAAAAATGGAGAAGACGAAGTTGGAACAACTGAAACTGGGAAGAGATATCTGCAGGTACGCTCGGTTGGAATTAATTAATTAATTAATTAATAATTAGTATTATATAGTAGTACTATTTATTAATGGTTCTTATATGGGACAAGGATGACCACCAAATATGTTTCAAACTCTCTGTTTGTTTGTGTTTTCGCGTGATTCAGTGAGTTTCCTTTTGTAATTTTTTAGGTTTTAGTTTTTATTGGTTTTTTTATTCTGTGACAAATACCTATAATTTATTGAAAATTATACATATTGAAAAAAATATTTTACTTGAGCTTTTTTTTTTTTAATTTTTTTATTTACTATACAATTTTCATTATTGCTTGCAAAATATTAAAATGAAATCAATGTATAATCTAAAATAAAAAAATAAAAACAAAAATTGAAATGAACAAACTACTGTGTTTCAAGTTCTTTTTAATTGAAAATTATAATTGAAAGTAAATTTTCTTTGTATTTGTTTTGTTATTTTGACGTGTCTAATTAGTCCAATTGTTATATTTTTATTTTCGGTTCAATTCTTCATAAATAATATTTTTATTATTTAAGTAGTTTAAAAATAACTATCTGTCTTTCATATTTTAAATTTGTTTTTTATTTGATAAAAGATGCATCAAATTCAAAAATAAAAAAATAAACAAACTCATAATATATTTCATAAATAAAAATTTAAAATATATATTTTCTTTTTGTAAAATAATAAGAATATTAAATATAAAAATTAAAAATGTTTAGTTATTATTATACTCCTTCGGTCCCATAATTAAATATATATTTATTTTTTCACGTAATTTTACAAATATTAATATTATTTTAAAAGATAATAAGAATAAAGTGGAAATGACTAAAATAACCTTATTAATATTGTGTGATACAAAGGTATTGACATTTGTGTAATATATTGTAAATTGTAAAGGTATTTGTAATATTATATAGACAGTATAGTTAAAAAAAATAATATTTTATTATAAGACGAACTAAAGTGAAAAAATTGATATTTTGTTATGGGATGAGAGAGTATTATAAAATCAAGAAAATGGAAAAATAAAACGAATTTAAATTGAAACAAACACATCCTTTGTAAATGGGAAAAAGGGAAAAATACACCGATGTTTTTTATTGTAGTTTTGGTGACATGAGAACGAAAGTTTTAGTGCAAGTTTCAGAGAGTCCAGGATCTCAACTCCGGATAAATTAAAACCGTGGATTCAGCGAAGTGGATGGTGTAGATTTGTTTGGTGCCGAGGACCATGAATGTTTGTCTTCGCATATATAGCCGCCCAAGTTGACCGGTTTTTTCTTCGTTCTAACTTCTAACGAAGCTATGTTTGAATCAAATTTAGTAAATTGGTCAGAAGATGTTTTTATATTTTTAGACAAAAAAAAAAAAAAACTAAAACTAAAAATAAAAAATATATATTCGGCCATTGTTTATTAATTTTATATTATTAATTTACGAGGGCCGTGATAATGACTTGGATTTAGAATTTGGGTTGTCATTGAGCAAACCCACACAGAAAAGTCGTATTAAAAAATATATATATTATTTATTTATTACTCACTCCTTCACGTAAATGTGTGCTCATTTGATCAGACACGTAGTTTTAATAAAAATAAGTAATAATCGTTAATTTTTCTTTTTATAGTAAAAACAGTACAAAAGTAAAAAGATTTTTTACTTAAAAAAGAAATGAGAATATTTTTCGATGACAAAAAAAAAAAATCAACATAGATTTAAACGAGGGAGAGAGTATTAAATTACACCAACACCAAAAATATAAAATAACATAAATGTGGAATTGTACTTAGATTGTTGCCATTTGGTGACATAATTAAGCATGATTATGTTTATAAGGATTAATAACAAATATAATATATAATACTCTCTTTACTTGTAAAATTATATCATTTATTTATTTTTTTTATTGTTTTCCGGTTAAATTTATATCTATTTCATTTATATTAAACTATTTTACCTATATATAATAAAGTTTTATTTGGTTCAAAGATTCCAGGGATTCCATGGATTTGAATTTTAAAATTTCATTAAATTCGATTAAAAAAAATACAATTTAAAATAATGAGATTTAAAAAAAAAGGTCAAAAAAACTTACAAGAATTTCTTTTGTAATGGGTACTTATTACTTTTAAATCCCATTATTGAAATTTTAATTTTTACTTTTATAATAATATTATATTTATATAAAATAAAAATTAAAAATTTTAAAATTAATTTTTATTTAAATTATATATTTAATTAAATTTATATTATTTTTTATGGTACAATATTTTTTTAAATAAATTAATAAATTAATTGTTTAAAATTATTCTTTATTATAAATTTTATTTGAATTATAAAATTACAGGAATGACAATGAGTCGGGTTCAGTCGGAATTGATATTCGTCTCGAATATATATTGTTAGATTCGAGACTCAAATTGGATCCGATAATAACGGATCCGACCGAAACTATACTCGGTAGGACTGGATGATCTGAAAAATCTATTTTTTTTTTTACAATTCTTAAATTTTAATTTAAAATGACACATGTATTGGATCCAACATATATTAAAGTTTATGTACTTTATTAGAAAAATATTATAATAAAATAATGAATAAGTTAAACTCAAAAAATATTTTTAATATAATTATATTGTTCGAAATTATTTTTTTATCTGTAGTTGATATATTATTATATTACCCCGAACATGATCCAGATCCAAACCCAATACTCAAATAATTGGATTTAACTTCAAATAAATAGGTCGGGCCCGGTCGGGTCGCGAGTTTATGTGAACCTATTGTTATCCTATAAAGTTAATTGATATCTTTTTAATTTATATTAATAATGAATTAGAGGTTTAATTTATCAAAATAAATAAAATTTATATGAGGACAATTATATCATTTAAAATATAAAAAATCCAAATCATTCGACTCATATAAAAAACAAATAAGATGTGAGAAATATAAATTCTACGTCATTTTACCAACCAAACATAAGATAAAATTTCAAATCCTAAATATAATAAATTCATCACATATAAATCATACCGTGAAATTTCAATTCCGCAAAAAAAAAAATCTATGAACCAAACAGTTTTTAACTTACTTTTTTTACACACCTAACTTTAATATTAAAATATTTTTATTTTTTAAATTTATTGTCTAAACAAACTTACATACGTTTTCGGAACATAAGTGATATATATATATTTCTATTCACAAAAAATTAAAATTTCAATATAAAAATATTTTTTTCGCTTCAACTTAATGCATCCAGGTAACAAACAATGTTTATAGTTTAAGTCAAAAGTATCAATTTTCAATTATTATAAAAGTAATCCTATTGAAATACCAAAATAAGTTTAAACATTTGCACTAACCAATCAAATATATTTTTATTTTTTAATATACTAAAAAATAAATAAATATATATATTGGACAAGAGAGAAAAAATATTATTTTTTATATTACTAGCATATTTCTCTACATCTAACATAAAAATACATCAAACTTAAAATACAAAAACAAATACACCCTTTGTTATTTTTATGTTTTTGTTTTCTTTATTATTGATTTCAAATAAAAATTATTATTATTTAATTACACTGTTTCAATAAAATTTTATTTTCTTTTTTCTTAAAATATTATTGAAGTTAAGATTTAAAATGTAAAATTTAAACTCAAACCAAGCAAACTATTAGTAGCCGTGGGATTGATTTTAAATCCACTGTACATCACATTTTTGTTTTTTCCAAAAACATCAAATCAAATATCTATTTTTTATTTTTTATATTATACTAAAAATCAATTTTACATTCAAAACATCACATCAACATCTATTTATATCACATCATACAATTATTCAAATTCAAATTTTTTACTATTCAAATCCTAACTCAAAATCCAAAGTTCCAAACAAACACACCATAAGAGCATATCCAATAGTTCAATATAAAAAAACTTGTAAATCATCTACATTTATTGTCAAATTGAAAATATGATTATGCAATAGCTTTTACAGTATTACACAAAATCTGCAAACTTGAAAGCAGTCTCGCCTGCACGAGGCCAATTGATGCTGCACCAAAATTCTATACTTTAAATTAAAGACATTGCGTATCACTTTTATATTTTAAAGCCTCTATTAAAATAGAAACCATCTTTTTATGTTCCATTGTCTATACTCTAAAAGCTAGAGGTAAATTATCCTTTTGCTAAATAATTTTTGTGTTCGTCTTCTTCCAAAACGATTTTCTTTGGCTATTCCGATTGCTTATAATATTTATATTGATGTAAATTTTCAACAATAAAAAGTGAAATTCGAAAATAGAAATTCAAATATGATAAAATAAATTCCTAAGATTAAGAATCCCTAGGCACCGTGACATACATAAGAAAGTTGAAAAGAAATACTACAGACTGAAAAAGTGAAAGGATGATCCCAAAAGAAATTCACTGAATTTGATGTCGATTGAAGATCCCTTCCTTAAGTCGTGAAAAGACCTATTTAAAACCCACGCCAACCGCCACAACCAGGTCGTGCCTTCATATCCGCTCGCCAGTTATAACTTCTTCCAACCGCCTTAGAATTGCTTTTCACCCGACTTGCATATCCACTGCTATGTCTCCCCTTGCCCGCCTTTCACTTGTCCGACCTCCGTATCGGCCGTCTCATCTTTCTTCACCCGACTTCCTTTTACCCGACCTCCATGCCAACCGACTTAAACACCTACCATCTCCCTCGTCAGACCTCTCCTTGTCCGACCTCTATATTCACCGATCTCTTAGTCACAGGTTTCTCCCGAAGAAACCCATTTCTTAATATTGAGCTTATATTCAGACCCATTTTAAGATCCTACTGCCATTAACAGACCCATTGAACTATACACCAGTCCACGACCCAATTTATAGGCCCACTCTCGAAAACACTACACATTGGTTTTTTCTTACTCAACAACTTGCCTCCTCCCGCCCGACTCCTAAGCGTCACTTCTCAAACTGTGTGAGACG